CCCCAATCCCAAAACCCCAAAACCCCAAAACCCCAAAACCCCAAAATTTCAGAAAACTATTGATTAAAGATGTTATTGAGAAACTTTTTAACAGGAAAGATGATGATCAGAGGACCTTCTGCAAGAGCCTTTCTGCCGAACCGAGCTTTCTGTTCACAATTTTACACAAGTGACAACTATAATCCAAAGTTCAAGGATGATATAAGGAAGAAGAATCAGATTAGAAGTGATAGGGAGTACACTTTTTGTATTATAGGATCTGGCCCAGCAGGATTTTATACAGCAAAAAGCTTGCTCAAGTCTGAAAATGGAAGTATTAAGGTCGATATTTTGGACTCATCTCCTCATCCTTATGGACTGGTTAGGAATGGAGTCGCCCCAGATCACCAGAGTATGAAGAAAATTCAATATGATTATGATGAAGTGTTTAAGAATAAAAATTGCCAATTTTACGGAAATGTTACTGTCGGTGAGGATATCCAAATTTTAGATCTTTTAAGAAATTATTCAGGAGTCATTCTTGCTTATGGAGCTGGTGCCGAGAGGGATATCGGCATCGAGGGGGAGCACCACCTAACTTCTGCTACTGACATCATTAACTGGTACAACGGCAAGCTCGATTACTTCCAAGAATTTCAGGATAGTATCAACTTTGATATGAAAGATCTTAGAGATATCAGTGTAATCGGGAATGGAAATGTTGCTACTGATCTCGCAAGGATCTTTTTAAAAACTAAAGAGGAACTTAAGGACTCTGATATGCCAAGTCCTGTAATGGACATACTTAAAGAGCCGGAAATTAATTCAGTTAGCCTTGTTGCAAGAAGAGGAATATACCAATCCGCATTTACCACTAAAGAGGTGAGAGAACTAAGCAAACTACCCCAGATCAAAATGTACCTTTTTAAAGAAGAATTGGAAAAATCTAGAAATGAAGGTAAAATTTCTATAATCAGTATAGCTTCTCTCTTGGAAGCAACTCCTGGATCATCCATCTATGCGAGGGCTATCAATAGAAGGACTACCTTTTTGGAGAAAACATGCATTCATTTGGAGAACAATGATCATTATGAAGAAGTGCTGAATGACTCTTCTCACAAGAAATTGTTCTTGAGATACTTTATGTCTCCTTCTAAAGTTTTAGACCAAAATTCTATAGAATTTAATATAACAGAGCTTGAAGGAGAGGCTGAAAAGCAGAGATGTGTTGTAAAATCCCCTGAAGAGAGAGTAACCTTGAAATCAGATCTGTGGCTCAAATCAGTTGGTTATAAAACAATTCCGATGCCTGGAGTTCCTTATGATGCTGATACTTTTACCGTTCCAAATGAGATGGGATGCGTTCTTTCAGATAATGGTGAAATCATTAAAGGACTTTATGTCTGTGGATGGGCTAAAAGAGGTCCAGTAGGTATCATTGATGCTACTCTACGAGACTCTTTTGAAACATACAGAGTGATCAAGAACCATATCGATCAAGATCTATTAGATTCAAGAATTGATTCGACTAAGAAAACCCTCTACAACCTCGAAAAGTATATTAATTTTTTAAATTTAGATCATTTGTGACTTACAGAGACTGGGCAAAAGTGATGTACTACGAAGATGAAAGAGGCAAGAAAATTGGAAAGCCAAGAGAAAAGTACCTTTGGACTGAAGATTACGAAAATATTATCGGAAAAGCTCTGTAAATTTATTTCAACCATCCATTTACTTATTGGGGTTTTGGGGTTTTGGGGTTTTGGGGTTTTGGGGTTTTGGGG